GCTGACATGGCAGAAATGTACTTTTTAGGTAGCTTTGCTGGAAATATTTTTACAAATAAGGTGGAAAAAAGCAGTAATTTTAATTTACCTATTTATCCCTTAAGGGTCACTCAGACTCAAGCCTCTGAAAAAGGGAGCCTTGCTTTAATGGTTGTTCTGCTAGTTTTGGTGGATGACATGGAACCAGGAACATGTAAGAAGTCCTGTTTCCAAGGTTCCAGAAAGTATTTCTCTAGTAGACTATGAAAGATCAAATCATAAGAGTACAGAGTAGTACATGAATTAGGCTTGTGGGACACAAAGCACTGGTGACCTATTTTTGGCCCCAGCAATTAAATCTTCCAGGATATTTCAACTACTTCTTAAAAAGTCTAAGTCTAGCTAGCAAAGGCAAGAACAAACTTCAAATCCTCTACTCCTGCTGCTGATCTTTAGAGCCTGGTTTTAAAAACGAGATTTTAAGATCACTCTACCCAAACTGATAAACTTTTATTTTCCTGGTTTTATGTTTTAATACTCTCACAGGTGAGAAATCAAATGTTATTACTAAAAATTTTTCCTGCATTCAAGTATGTGCCTTTTATATTTAAATAAATCTAAACCAAGAGACAGAGCAGCAATTTGACTGGCTGTATAGATCAGTATTTTATTACCATCTCCCAAAACATACAATTATATCTCCATTTGAGAACTAAATCTCTCATCTCTAACTTGCAAAATCTGGAAACCCTTTTCCACTCTTAGTTGAGCTCACAAGAATCTAAGGGAGATTTCTGGAAGCCACATAAACAAGAAAGGTCAATTGCTGCTGCTGTAGCCACTGTGGTACTGGGGATGTGGGATACTGTGCCAATCTCTGTAGTCAAGGAGTTGAGATTTAACCCCCATGTGGAGAAGAGGAGACAAGATCTTGGATCTCTGCAAATAGGGACCTGGAGCTGATATTCTCACATAAAGCCCTGAGACTCTTAAAAGAGTGATAGCTTCAACGAAAGGGTAGCTAAAAAGGCAAAACAAAACAAAATAAACCAGTGAACCAACACAGAGTGATTACAAGGAAGCATGTTGTTTCAGCTGTTACCCTGAAAATTAGGATAAACAGGGAATGCCCTCAAATTTTGTTTGGGATATGAATGTAGGTTTAGGAAATTAAGCTCAGACTTAGTTTCAGCTAGTGCTTTCCCCAAGACATCGGGTAAATACAAAACTGCTTTAGAAAGGCTTGCCCTCAATCTACATCCAGGAAAGTTCAGCTGAACTTGAGTTCACAAAATAAATTTATAAAACACACAAAGAAACAATGCACTATGAGCAAGAGCCAGAAGACAAATCAAAAGAAAGATTAAAAGCCTTCCTCTGCCAAAAGAATAAAAAACCACTTACTAATTTTCCTATTATTGTTATTCAATATGTATTATATGCATTTGTCCTGAAATTGTACAAAATGAATTCCTAATTGATGAATGGAGGTGCTTTTCCACAAGTTTCGAAACCCTCTTTTCTTTCCTACCAAATGTTGTTGTTAGGTACCATCAAGTGCCGTCTGACTCATAGTGACCCTATATACCACAGAACGAAACGCTGCCTGGTCCTGCGCCATCCTCACAATTGTTGTCATGCTTCAGCCCACTGTTGCAGCCACTATGTCAATCCATCTCGTTGAGGGTCTTCCTCTTTTTCGCTGACCCTCTACTTTACCAAGCATGATGTTCTTCTCCAGGGACTGATCCCTTCTGACAACATGTCCAAAGTATGTAAGATGTAGTCTCGCCATCCTTGCTTCTAAGGAGCATTCTGGCTGTACTCCTTCCAAGACAGATCTGTTCGTTCTTTTGGCAGTCCATGGTATGTTCAATATTCTTCGCCAACACCACAATTCAAAGGCGTCAATTCTTCTTCGGCCTTCCTTATTCATTGTCCAGCTTTCACATGCATATGATGCGATTGAAAATACCATGGCTTGGGTCAGGCATACTTTAGTCTTCAAGGTGATTATCTTTGCTTTTCAACATTTTAAAGAGGTCTTTTGCAGCAGATTTGCCCAATGCAATGCATCTTTTGATTTTTTGACTGCTGCTTCCACGGGTATTAATTGTGGATCCAAGTAAAATGAAATCCTTGACAATGGGAATTCCAGAACACTTAATTGTGCTCATAAGGAACCTATACATAGATCAAGAGGCAGTTGTTTGGACAGAACAAGGGGATACTGCGTGGTTTAAAGTCAGGAAAGGTGTGTGTCAGGGTTGCATTCTTTCACCATACCTATTCAATCAGTATACTGAGCAAATAATCCAAGAAGCTGGACTACCAAATTATGCAGAAACTATAATAAAGATTCCTAAGACTTCAAAATCATCCAATTAGTACATACTTTTTGCACATTTAATTACTGAAGTGATTGCGCGGAACAATTAATCAAAGTCAGGCCAAACCCTGAGGCTTTTTGGAGTACAATGAAGATACACACAATTTTCATTTTACAAGGCTTGCACTTCAACACCAAGGCATCCAGAACTGCTGTTGTTTTGCTACACCCAGGAATTCCATCTAGTACAGTTGCCAAGAAAGGGTTTTCCAGCAACCCAGGAAAATGGACTATGTCCCTTATGTTTTGATTTTTACTACTGTTTTAAACAAGTACCTCTATGCTAAATGCTGTGTGTAAGTGTTATGCATTACACCTGTCAAAAGCAACTGGTTTTTCATGCTAAGGCTGAGACAGTAAGATCTAGTATTCTTAAAGGTCAACACTAAAAGACTGACATCCAGACTAAATTGTTTTTATGATTTTTTCTCAAAGTAGACAATGTACAACAAGTAAGTGCAAATAAGATGGTAGTCATTAAGAAAACACGACCACTTCAAGGTGGATGTATTTAAAGATTGAAGGTGATTTTAATTCTCATTGTTAGTCTTTGTAGCAAATATTTAAAAATATTTGTACAAAAGTAAAATGGTTAGGAATGTTTCTGGCAGTTTTATAATTTAAAAAATGCTAGCGTCGCATGGGTTCTTCAGTTTCATTTACTTCTGGTTTTTGAAGAATGCAAGATGTAAAGGGAAAAACCGGAACTTCTGGTTCCTTTAAAACACCTTTACAGTTTAAAAACTTGTGAGACTTGAAAAATGTTAAGACACTTTAATCCCTGACATCACCAGCCTCTACGTCATCCCCAATCATGCTTGGGACAGTTTTGTCTTTTCTAGGTACCCTCTGGTTCACTGCTGAAGAATCTATACTATTTTATTAAGGTGCTGGTACTTACATTTCCAATTCCAAGAGTATCTGCACTTCAAAAAACTGCCATGGGACAAAGATTTAACCCAAAAATATTCATCTGTCTGTTCATCTATCCCTGGGAACCATCCTGCAATATTAGACCACTTAAATAATAAACTGCTTAAAAGGAGACTGAAGTGCGATTTTCATGCAGGGTCTTGCTTTGCACTTATATCAGTTCTGAGGTATGGTTTGCATCTTTAACTTGTATTCCCTAGATTTACTTTGTTTTCCTGTCTGTTATTTGTTTTTACATTTTTTAAACATTTGTCTTTACTACTTTCTCCTATTTTTAGAACTACCACATCAATCATTGTTGAATGACAACTAACAAATAGGTAAATGAAATGACACAATGAAGGGTCAAATTACTCTTCTCCAACAAACTGGTGTTCTTTGAGGAGCATTCACCTGTTGTCTCACCAAAGTAGATTGTTTTTTCAAAGGGTAACTGACAAAAAAGCCCCAGGTCATCTCTCCCACCAGGGGAGAAGATTCCTAGAACGGTGATGGTTCTGAGTACTGATGCCAATGGAGTCCAATCTATTTGAGGCAATGGGATTTACCAATATCTATGATAAATTTCTCCCTGTCCCAATTTCCTTACATTGTTTGCTTTCCTGCTCTGGTTAACTATGTTGAAGGATATTCTACAGTTCCAAGAGAACAGACACCTCTCATAGACACTGATGAGTAAACTTCCTTAAGAACTGAGCTGAGAAAGAAAGTCACATCTTGAAAGTAAGGATCAAGTTTTTGATTTGCCATGTTCCCCAATCTATCACACAGCTCAAAATTGATGAAAAGTACTGAGGATGCTGGTGAGCAAAACCTCCCTGGTGCATTTCTAGATCAACTGCTGGGAGTGCACTCATCTGTCAAATTGTCTAACTCACATAAGGATGACTTACCTGATAGGTTTCAGAGAAAAAATTATACAGCGTAGGGCAACGTTAAAGAAGACAGGCTATGTTGACTTGTTAAAAGCTAAAACTTCAACATTCTAATGGGGCTCAGATAACTTTTGATTATAATTATAGAAACCCAATGGTCAGTTCCTAAGATCCGAGGTGATGTTACATTAAAAAGAAATAATTTTGAATTGGGAAGAACGTAATACTTTGATAATATTAATGGTCATAAAAAAAACTTACAGGAAAAATGCAACTGTTTTAAAAGAAAAAGTGAGAGAAAATTAAACTGATCTATGAGTTAATCAGAGTGGGCACTTTTATTTTTCAAAACTAGTTATGTAAATCTTTGATGTTCTAATTGCTATTTTCTTAAACTCAAGATTAAAGAATAGGTTTTGCATAGAGGAGTTCCTTTAAGTTTAGGATTTAACTGGGTTTTAAAGTTTTGAGAATGCAGGATTAGGGAATACAGACCATGCTGGTTTTGACTGGTTTCCAGCACCAAAGAAACAAAATTAACAACTGAGGAATTTACTCACATGAATGAGGCAAAAACAACATGCATAGTGACATACACTTTGGAGGCATTTTGTATATTTGAAATTTTCATTTGCATTTTTAGACAATGGAGTAACTCTTTTGCGGGCTGCACTAAAACACAAACACACCATTGAAGAAAACACTAGGAATTTCAGCATTCATTCGATGTTTCTGGAAGTCAAGATAAGTAGCCAATTAAAAACAAACACTGCTGCATCTTCATGTTCAGCAAGCATAAGATTATTAATGGCAGAAAAGCTTACCTGGGACAGGGCTCTTTCTTGAATTTAAGCTCTGAGAATCCATAGTCTCTTCTGTTTGCCCATCTGCTTCTGCCTCTGTTTTGTTCGGAATTTCTTTTCCATCTTCATTAAAGCAAGTTCTTACACTCTCGTCCTCTTCTAAGACTCCCTGAACTGTGGTGGGAGCACTGGAAGTACTAATGGTAGTGGCAGCAGCAGGAACAATGACTGGAGTGGGAGGAGGAGAGGCTGGAGGAGTTGGAGGAGATGGAGAAAAGGAAGGAACTGTGGAAGGGGTGATGGGAGCTGGGGTACATTCCACTTTCATTTCTTCTGGGGGATTTTCCAGAATTTCCAATTCAAGAGTCAATGGCAGCACCTCCTGTTTTACTATTTCTACAATGCTCTCCGTGGCTGGTAATTTTTCACCAACTCCATTTATTTCATTAATAAGGTCAGTACTAGAAATCAGTGGAATATCATTAGGTGCTACACTACAGGGTTTCTTGCATATATCATCATCAATTTCATCTGTTGGTGAAGGGTCTGATGTTTCTGTGCAAGATGTGGGGCTGGGTATAGGAAATGTGTCCTCTTTTGGGGAAGAGAGTTCACATCTGTCATCAACAGCAGTGGTGAATATTGGTTGGCTACTAAGAGCAGCAGAGATAGGGGAAGCAATCGTATTACGAGCAATTGGAGAAACAGTGGTAGGTGACACAGGCAGAGGAAGCTCTGGTGTGGATTCTACTGCAGTAAGCTCAGACGTCTGGCCTGCTTGTTCCTTCTTCTCCCCACTAAGGACTAGCCTAAGGACTGGAGAAGGAGACTTTAACACTGGATCTGGTTTTGGCTTCTCTTCTAGGGAAGAAAAAATAAAAGAGTTTTAAGAATAATTTATAGATCAGAGACTATATTGTATTATTATCAGTCAATTCTTTTATCCTCTTCATCTAAATCATGGGCTGCAGAATAGACGCTAAAATATTAGATTTACTCCGCTACTCTGAAAACACTGCCATACTGTTTTTCCCATTACACCCATAATTACTTGGTTTCCATTACATATAAAATTTATTTTGGAGTAAGAGATCAATTCACCAAATGATAATGTCAAGAGTACAATGGAACAGCTCATCAAAACTGAAGTTAAACCATTCCTGAGACAGGACTGAGGCTTTTCTTTAAGGTAGAGAGAACTTAATCTCTACCATATATCCTGTTCTTTGAGGAAAGTTTTTCTACCAGGGGTGCACTGTAGTCACAGGACACTACAAGGGCAAATGAGACAGGGTTAAATTATTGTGAAGAGATTGGCATTATTTTTTATTCAATATATTTCTGCATTGTTTGGAATTTACTTGTATTACTTTTTATAAAAAAAAAAAAAACTACGTTTTAAGAGAGACTATCATAACCTCAGTGAAATTTCAAGGTCCTGAATATAAAAAAATGTAAGTTTAGAAATTAACTTTCATTTATCAAAAGAAGTATATAACAGAAATAATGTAAGGATTAAAAACATGTATTATCCTGTGTCTTCAAAAGTTAAAAAAAAAAAACAATTATTTAAGGAGAAACCCAAGTTAATACTCATATAAGCAAATCACCTATATATACACACATATATATAACATGTAATATATAATTTGAAATATTTCAGAATACATAAAATGTTGTGTGTGTGTGTGTGTGTGTTTAGACAGAGAATGAGAGCAAGAGTGTGCGAAATTAGGATCCAGAAAAATGCAAGGAAGGATGTGATTCATCCCTGAGAGAATGAAACCACAGGAGATTTAGACTTGCTTCTGGCCTTGTGCCTCCTAAGCACGATAAACAGGCTCCACTGGAAAAACAGATACACGTAGTAAGTTTATCAACTGCAAACAAAAACTTTAAGCGCTACTAAATGACAATCTGAACTGCAAAGGATTTAACTTTCTCCTCCAGAAATCTTTACACCTCAGTGACAATGAGCCTTTAAAACAAATTGTAGTTGTCAGTGAGAATATGTTCCGTGAATCAGATAAACAGACAGTAAATATTAATATTAAACTGTTAAAGCTTTATTCATTCACTGTGACTACATTTACAGGTCTTAAAATTTACTTTATGGGCACAGAAGCTAGTGCTTCTAAAACTGGACTTTGCCTTCTATTGACTGTAATGGTGAAATAAAATCAACAGGCTCTCACTGCCAAATCCCGAAGACCCAGCTGCCAAGACAAGAAACAAAAATATTTTAAGTGCAAAAATGTCTCTGATGAAAATAATTTCCAACTCATTAGAATAATTGCTACATGGGTCCCTCAGATTCCATCAGAATAACACCCGTATGACCACTGAATAAAGTCTAGATGAAGTAAAGTAAAAAATGAAGACTAACTCTGGCATTAACAATCTAGTAAGAGTATGTCAACTTAATGATTAATTCTGGGAGAAAAAATTTCTGATAGTGAAAAATCAAACAAAAGTATATCTACGACTGATAATAATAAACATGTATATACTCTGTAAAAAATTTAGTAATAATGAAGAGAAATAGAAACAAAAAGGTGTTAATTTTTTTGAGAGCTCCTCATTCTGAAATAAAATTCCCTTAAACCACTCAACAGGGCCTTAACATAGAAAGCTGGAAAATACAATACAGAGGATCTAAATAAAGAACATTGATTTTATTCCTGTAAAGGCTTTTACTATAAAGACTGATTTACAGAGCTCTGACAGTTTGAAATTTAATATACTGCTTTAAAAATGTTTATACTGTTTGACCATCTTTAGGAATTTGTAGGAATTCCATCTTTAAGATATTTTCATAAGGAAATAATCATGAAAGAATGAGCAAAGTTTAAGGTCTGGGATATTTAAGACAACACTTTATAACAGAAAAAATTGGAAGTAAACTAAATGTACAAAGAGAGGGATTTATGAAACAATTGATGGTCCAGGTATATCACAGGATATTATGCAATCTCTTAAAATGGGTTTTTAAAAGCATAATGGCACAGGAAGTTGTTTATAATACAAGATACATATATATATACACACGAGGCACAAACTAGAACATAAAGCTAATTTGGTAACTTAAGATTATATAATAACAATATATATGCATAGAGGAAAGTCTGGAATTACACAGAGCTCATTAATAATGCTTCTGGGTGAAGAAATAGATTAATTTTTTACTTATCACCATTTTTTCTATTTTTTACATATTTATGAGAAGGAAAAAATAACCACTCTTCTTTTCTTATGGTGGTGGAACCAACCGCCTTTATCAGTGCCTTCTGGTTGACTGAGAGGGTCATTTAGTGGGCAGAGGCCAGGAACATTACGCATCCTGCAATCTGAAGGACAGTTTCACTTGAAAAATAAAAAAACCAAAAATCCACTGCTGTCAAATCGGTTCTGACTCATAATGACCCTATAGGACAAAACAGAACTGCGTCATAGAGTTTCCAAGGCTGCAGTCTTTACCGAAGCAGACTGCCACACTTTTCTCCTGCCGAATGACTGGTGGGTTCGAACTGCTAACCTTTTAGTTAGCAGCCAAGCACTTTAACCATTGCGCCACAAGGGCTCCTTTGAAAAATAACTGGTATTGTTAAGTGCCCATGAGTTGGTTCTGACTCATTGCCACCATATGTGCAACAGAATGAAATGCTGCCCAATCCTGTGCCATCCTCCCAATTGTTGCTATGTTTGAGCCCCTCATTGCAGCCACTGTGTTAATCCATCTCCTTGAGGGTCTTTCTCTTTTTCGCTGATCCTCTACTTTATCAAGCATGATGTTCTTTTCCAGTGAATGATCCCTCCTGATGACATGTCCAAAGTACGTAACACGAGGTCTCACCATCCTCGCTTCTAAATGCCAATAGAGCAAAATTGCTATGCATGGCTGAATTACAACAAGAGTATCATTCACTGAAGACCGACTCAACATCAGGTGTTTTCAACAGGTACTCCTTCCTAAGGCACCTTCTAACTCTTGTTTGTATTTAATTATCCATGCCATATACTCAATATATTTGATTGAATGCACTTTCTCACTTAGGAAACAACAATCATTTAAGCTGTGTCTACACACCATCAGCACCAACTGAAGATATTATTTTAATTCATTCAAATTTTTCTCTTTACAAACCAAGCTGAGGCTGCCCTACATCTTCATAAAGTATCAAAACATTTGGGAAATGTTGAGTTTTCTGGAATCTTGGTCTTCAGGAAAGCATTCCAGCTGTTCACATCAAAAACTTTTTTCACATTTAGTCCCTTTATTCTGAAAGAACAAGGTGCTTTTTCTAATTTATTTTCTGTTGTTGTTTAGAATATACACAGAACATATACCAAGTCAATAGCTTCTACATGTACAGTTTAGTGACACTAATTACATTCTTCAAGCTGTGTAACCATTCTCACCCTTCTTTTCTGAGTTGTTCCTCCCACATTAACATAAACTCACTGTCCCCTCAGTTTCCTATTTAATATTTCAAGTTGCTGTTGTCTATTTGATCCAATATAGATAGATCTTAGAAGAGTCTGATGCTCAAGGCAGACATTCTTCACTAGTTAAGCTAAACTGTCCAGTTTTAAGAAGACTTCAGAGGATACATTTGGTTTATGGTTTAAAGCTTATCTCACTGGTTCATCCAGCCTCCATGGCTCCAGAAAGACTGGATTCCATGAGAATTTGAATTTCTGTTCTGCACTTTCTCCCCTTTGATCAGGATTCTTCTATAGAATCTTGGCTGAAAATGTTCAGTAACTGTAGCAGGGCACCATTCAGTTCTTCTGGTCTCATGGCAAAGGAGGCGTTGTTCATGGAGGCAATTAGCTACACATTCCATTTCCTCCTCCTATTCCTGATTCTCCTTCCTCTGTCGCTTTAGTCGAATAGAGATCAACTGTTCTGCCTTGGATGTCCACTTGGAAGCTTTTAAGACCTCAGGCACTACAAAACAAACTAGGAGGTAGAACAGAAGCACTAAATACATTTTATTAGGTCAATTAACTGGGATGTCCCATGAAACCATGACCCTAAACCTCCAAACCAAGAAACCAAATCCCATGAAGTGTTTGGTTGTACTTTAAGCAGTGTCAGCAGCTACTCTTTTTTTTAATCCCCCTCGTTGTTAATATATCACACAACTTTTACCAATTCAACTTTTTACAGACGTACAACTTATTGACAGCAATTACATTAACTGGCTCTGCAACCCTACCCTTAATCAATGCGATTTTTCCATCACTGTAATCCAAACCTCAGTACTCCACAGGCAATAACTCCCTGCTTTCCCTCTTCCTCCTGCGCATGGTAACTGCTAAGAAACTCTGGTCTCTATGCCTTTGCTTGTTCTTGTCTTTTTATACAAGTGAGGTCATAACAATAGTTGTCCTTTTGTGATTGACTTATTCACTCAGCATAATGTCTTAAGGCTCCATCCATATTGTAGAATGTATCAAGACTTCATTTCTCTTACTGACTGCATGTATTCCATTGTATGTATGTACTACATTTTGTTTATCCATTCATCTGTTGATACTACTACTACCTGTTCCGTCGAGTCAATTCCAACGCATAGTGACCCTATAGGACAGAGTAGAACTGCCCCATAGGGTCAAAAACTTTTGAGAAAATCATAAGCTTAATAATAGCAGCTAACATTTATTAAGCACTTATTATGTGCCAGGAACTGGGTCAAATACCATGTATACACTGTCATCTTTAATTCTCACATACACCAGTGAGGTAGGAACTATTATGTTCCTGTTTTAGATATGGGGAAAATGAAGGTTTGAGAGATTAATCACAGGCCCAAGATCACATAACTGTCAAGTGCAGGAGCCTGGAAATGATTTCAAAGTCCACATTCTTCCAATTCAGGGAGAGGGGAAAAAAAAAAAGCTTATGGAAATAGAAGTATTTAGGTGAATCAAGCAAGTGGGAGAATTTGGCACTAACATGAGATTGTTACCCGCACAAACCCTCAGTAAGGACACTTTCATTGAGAGAGAAAAACCAACCGAACCGCAGAATGCAGAGTCTGTTGTTTCTGGTGGTAACAGCAATATTTGAAAACAGTTCATTTTTGCATCCTAATTTAATTTCAAAAGGAATCTAGAGTTAAGAAGAAAAAAAAAATTGTAACTGTGAAGAAAGAAGATCAATTTCTATAAGAGATGGTGAGCTCTTTCTAATGTTATCTGAATTTATACAGATTTGGTTTTAAAAAAATTACTCTGAAAACTATTTTATATATTGGCAGACTATGGGTGGAATTAGGAAACAGTTTCTCGATTTTCTGGTGAATAGTTGGTAAAAGAAGAAGAGAGCACTAATCCCAAAGAGTTACTTATAAGCTCTATGAAATAAATTTAAAATGCAAGCTTTTCTTTTCATAATTTTCCCATTTATCCTTATCTATTTTCTACATCAAATTAAAATGTTGGTTTTATTATTCAAATTTCCCCTATGCAAAAAATTGAGAGGAAACCAAGAACTTGCTTTCCTTGCTCTGCAAATCTAGACCTAAGCATGACAAAATGCAAGGCCTCATAATTAGAATATCTTAGCAATTTTTTTTCAAAAAATAACTGCAAAAATGATGATACTATATTCAGGCAAGTCAGAACTATCATCATCACAGCATGTTATGAATTTTTTATATCTTAGCACAGCTATAGAGAAAGCTTACAAACAAGTCTGCAGAGAGAATATATTTTAAGACCTCTTTGCATGGGAAGTATTCAACATGCTTAGCATAATTCTAAACAGCAAAGGATTACAACGTGCAAAAGTGTAATGAAGTAAAGTTTTGAAAGGAATATGCTAAAAATTATTCTCCAATTAGATTGTTAACATTCTGTATTTTGACTCAAAGATGCTTTATCGTTGGAGATAGGAAGCTGATCTTACAGAATACTATCACCACCATACCCCCTGCAAGGTGAATGGTTTAATATTAAATAAATTACTTTGAAGCATGGATGAATCCTTCAACTCTGTACATTGCTAAAAGAAGTATTTGGCAGTACAACTTTTAGAAGCATGCCAAGGTTAGGGTTTGTTACCTTTTGATTTAAAACTATCTTATAGAACAAGTACAACAATGTAGGACTTGTCTCCACTCAAGTTTACTTTAGTAGCCTCCTCAATATTCAAGGGAAAAGAATGAGATTTTTATTTCAAAAAACACCATATTATCTTTGCACGCTGTACAAAAACACTGAAATCGGGTATTAGAAGTCCTTCTTTGAGAGGCTTTGTAACTGCGATTAACTTGCAGTTTAGTCAAAAAAACTCTAATATTAAATGCCTCCACTTTGTATTATGGGCCAATTTCCAAACGCTTTTTTAAAGAATAATTTTTAGAAAGTATGTTTACTAACAGTCAGCTATAGAATAATGAGGAGTTTGGAGGAATGAATAATCCAAGAAGATAGGTAGCGTATGCATCATTTATATTCTTGTTTTGAATGAAGTCAGAAACATGAAAGCATGTGCAAAGTCACTAGTTTCCCCTGTGCCTAGGGAGAATTGTCTCTCAATTTTAGCTAAAAAAAAAAAAAAAACAAAACAAAAAATCAAACCCACTGCCGTCGAGTCAATTTCAACTCACAGCGACCCTACAGGACAGAGTAGAACTGCCCCATAGGGTTTCCAAGGAGCAGCTGGTGGATTCAAACTGTTGACCTTTTGGTTAACAGGCAAACGCTTAACCACTGCACCACCAGGGCTCCAATTTTAGCAAAGGTCAACCTAAAATCCAACTAGGCAGTAAAGAAAGAGAAACTATCATAAGGCATGAGATTCCCCTTGAAGTTTTCCATTTACAATCCAAAAGGCATTGTGTGTATTTATTTTAACAAATATTTAATACTTCATGTTCAAGGTCATTAGGAGTAGAGACCTTATTATGATTCCTGCATCAATAATAACGGCTCTAATTTACTAAGCACTTTTCATGTGGCAGGCATCTCTAGTCCCCAAAACAACCCTGTGAGGTAGATCTTCTTCATTCCATTCTATAAGTGAAGAAATTGAGGTTCATAAAGTACATGACTCACTCAAGACCAAACAGCTAGGTGCATGATGGAGCCAGGATTTGAACTCAGTGCTGTCTTCTACTGTGGCTACAGAAGCTCAATCTTGTAAGAAGAAAAATATACCTTTTTTAAAATAGCAAGATATATACATATATATTTATACAAAAAGTCATGCACCGCATAACATCCATTCAGGCAATGTCCAACTGCATCTACGTCCATGGTCCTGTAAGGTTTATAATGGAGTTCAGAAATCCTAACTGGAGAATGAGATGTAGCAGATGTAACCGGACGTAGCAAATGCAACAGCTTCCAGCACACAACACATGTATCTCATGTCTCTTACATACAAAGTAGTTGCACTGCTAGGCATATAATGATACAGTACATATATAACCTACAACACGTCTTGACAATGGTAATAAATGCCTACGTTACTGGCTTATGTATGTACTGTACTATACCTTCTATCATTATTTTAACGTGAACTTTCCCTACTTACAAATAAAAAGCTTACCGTGTAACAGTGTATGCTGCCTATGAGGGAGCAGCATCCAATCTTATGTTTACACTATGTCCAAATCATATAACGTCCTATTTCACAGATCGTTATTGTGGACGTTAAATAACGAATGACTGTGTGTATATATATAACTGTGTTGTTCTTGAAAAGTAATATATACTTTGATTAGTTATTCCCCCTCCCCTCCGTGTTGTTTCAAAACAAGTTTAAGGTACCTAAGCTTTTTACCTATAAACAGACATCCACAGTGGGTCATTAATACAATGTAGGGAAAAAATTTTACTAACCACCCATTAGTTTTCTAGAGGTAGAATGGTTTGCTTTTTCATCTCAAAGTTCTGTTTAAAAGTGGTTATCTAAATAATCCTCAGATATTTTAATCTTACTCTTGAATGCTGAGGGTAATGTAATTAATAAAAAAGACACTAAATATAAGAGGGAGGAAAACAGTCATACACAAACCTTGCTTCTGGTCGCTAGCTGCAGTGACAGGGGTGCTGGCAGCAAGATGAACGCTCTCCACAGTCCCATAAACCACAGGGCTGTGCTCGGGGACCTGGCTGGGCAGCTGCTGGGATTTGAAGTACAAAAAAGGGTGATAATGAGCGTGCGAACATAAAAACTAGCAACATGGAACCCAAGCAAGTGGGGAAGACAGAGTGGGACAGGAGATTACAAAAAAAAAAAAAAAAAAAAGGAAAGCAAGGAAAAAATATATAGGCCAATTTAATAAATTCAAAAAGTACATGGGAAGATGGGGAAGGGAGGGAAAGAGGCAGCAGGAAAGGGGAAGGAAAAAAGATGATTACTATTAACCACAGCAAGAGAAGACAACACAACAGTTATCAATACAATTCATTTTCCACTGTTCCTTCTAAGGACAAGCAGACTTTTCAACCTAACAATAGATGTCACCCATGAGGGAATTTAGCATCCTTCCAGTCAAAGACCAAAGGGATTTGGTCAACTTATAAACTACCTAGTAAAGTAGTTCTTGGGCCAAAAGCAGGACAAACAGAAAATGTGATAGTTTGAAAGCCAGTTATTGATTCAAGAAAATAATAATGAAGGATGATTCCTGTTATTTGTCCATACAATCATACGGGTAAAGTGCAATTTAGAAAGTGTCTCACTGCACTTTCACCTTAAAATGTCTTTAGGTTCTGGGTCAAGGATGGTATCTTTTCAGTCAGACATTTGAGTAACAAACTGGCTGTTCAGACCTACGAGGAAATCTCTCATTTTCACTCAGCCAGTGTATTAGAACCAACAATGCCCCTCAAAATCTAAGCAGAACAGGTTGAGAAAAATGCAGCCATTGTTCATCTTAGAGGGAACAAGAATTACAGAAGAAAGCACAAGAACATTCACTCTACAACACATTCCAGGCAGGTTATTCTTTCTGGATTTCAGGGTTACACAAAAGCCACAGAACAAAGCAGTGTCTCTCCTCGGAGATCTAAGATCAATTTTTTGGCAGTTATAGTCTCCTACGCTGAATTCTGTCCGTACTATCAGAGCAGAGCTCCCTGCACAATTCTGTTTTTATCCGAGGGGGAGGAGGTTTGGATGTGGGTGACTTTGGGTGGATAGGGTCAGTTAACGTGAGGGTTAATAAAAAATATTTTAAAGTCAGTGACTCTCACTTAAAGCTGGAATATAAGATGAAATGTATCAGTCTGGACATGAACCATTTATGACGATAGATGTCATTTAAGTCACCATGCTGAAAAGAACATACAATATGCAATTTATACTTGACTATGGATTACAGACAGGAATGGGGAAAACGCTATAATTTCTCCTACTCATTACATCATGAAAATGTTCACGTTCAACAATTATCTCTAAATGAAGACTATTAAAATTATATTCCCACATTTAAAAAATGAAAAGAGTTACTGTTTCACTTTAAGCCATGGACAAATAATTGAAGAGTACTGCCAGTATTACTCTATTCTGAATGTTTAGTTTCAATGAAAAAATCATTGTATTACTGAAATTCAAAAATTGGAAAGGCTTCATAGCTATAAAGGAAAATACAGACTTAGCTCTATTCTACTGGCTGAAAATAGATACGGAACAAAGGAAACACTCCACATTATTCAGCATTTATTAAACAATTATCCACATTTCCCAGGAAAGAAAGATTTGTGAATTGTGTCATTTACCTGAAAGGAAGAAAACATTAACTATGTCAATTGTTTGGGAAATTAACAACCACAAAAAGGGGTAATAGCAAAAAGTGTGTTGCTAAAATGACATTATTAGAGAATGTAGATGTTTACAATAGTAAAAGGTTGTTGATACATATAAATCTACATGGATCAGGGGGCTTTCAATATAAGACTGCAGTATCTTTAATCATATTAAAGAGACAACCACACAGACAGTTTCAAACTAACAAAGCCCTAGGAAGAATTTATGTATAAAGATTCATAAGAAAGAAGCAAGATAACAGGATGATCATTCCAAATCCAAGTATCTAGTACTTAGTTACATATCCACAAAATGCTAGGGAGGTACTTCTCAAGTTTCCTCAGCAGTAAAATGAAAAAGAACTGTGATCTTACAATCCCTCTCAGCTTTCACATTCTATAAGCCTTTGATAGTACCAATATGCTATATTAACATAGAATAATATTCGATGCTTTATCTTTTTTTAGATTAATTTTAATTAGGATAATCTCTTCAAATTTTAGTTTAACCTCCAATTTCTCTCTTCTCTCCCAATGAAGTAACTCAACTATAAATAGTCCATTATAAAGGAGTTCCATATCTTTCCAAAGCACAAATAATCATAGTCTATTTCATCTAATTAATAAGTCAGAAAAATCAGGAAATACACTGAATGTTGTGACTCAAAATGTCACATTCAATGTCATATGCACTTCATTTCATAAGGAAATGAAGCTTTTGAATACATAACCTAGATACAGGTGGGAATGAAAACTGACAGAATCATTCTGGAAGGTACCATCTATAGTATCAATATGTAAAAGGATTCAATAAAGATGCTCCAAAAGTCAGGGTTAAAGGTCAGGTTTGATTTAGCAACTCTTTGTTGTTGCAACATTTTGTAATTTATGCCAATGCTAAGCTTTTCCTCAACAAAATTCTTTAAAATCAAGGCTATATTTGGCAGAGAAAATAAAAACAAATGTTTCTCATGTCTCAACTGGAGTGATAAGGGAGTTTAAAATAGGGCAAGATATTAGATTCCTGATACCTGTAACCAAACCCTGTTGCTGTCGAGTCGATTCCAACTCATAGTGACCCTAAAGGACAGAGTAGAACTGCCCCATAGGGTTTTCAAGGAGCAGCTGGTGGATTCAAAGTGCCAACCTTCTGGTTAGCAGCCATAGCTCTTAACCACTGCATCACCAGGGCTTCTATTTTCCTGATAGTGCCCAAGAAATGAATTTCCTTTATAAATTCTACGTGGCAATCTATCTGTTGAAGATTTATATATTAAATTTGAAGTACTAGCCTTAAAGGAAAATGGTAGACTTGGACTCAAATACTAGATTAATTCATTCACTTTTTTAATAGAGTGCTTACCTATTAGGTACCAGACTTTATACTAGGCACAGGCAACAAAATCCGGAGTTGTCCTCAAATACTTCTTAGTACATTTTTAAATTAATTTTTCTTTACACAGTCAACACTGTTTCTGCCTAGAAAGGGTAACTTCCCTTTCTTTGCTTTCTCTTTTAATCTTGTACATGACAGAATTCATAAGAACAGAGGAAGTTATAGATAGAAAGTCATCAAACTATGGCCCAGGGGCCAACACCTATTTTTATACAGAACATGAACTGAGAAATTTTTACATTTTTAAAACATTGGGGGAAAAATTAAAAGAACATTTCTTGACTCATGAAAAGTACACCACTCCTCACTTATCAACATAGTTAGGTTCCAAAGACCAGGTCATTCCACGAAAATTGGCACTATGTGAAAATTGGCACTATGTAAAAATGACCACATTAGATCACAAAATGGAGAATTACATAACTGCCAAATTATATCATTATACATCTGTCAAACCATTGAGAATCATGGCCCAGCCAAGCTGACACATAACCTTAACTATCACAGCCAGCATTACTCTTGCCTCACCCCTCGGCGTTCATTACTGCCACCAGATAGCAGTACATCATTAATGCGCAAAACAGATAGTAAATTTTTTACTACTGCTGTAAATGGGAAATGTTAGGTAACGAAATAGTTGATAAGTGAGGAGTAGGTGTATATAAAATTCAAATTTCAGTGTCCATAATAAAGTGTTATTGGAACAGCCATGGTCACTCATTTATGTACTGTCTATGGCTGCTTTTGTGCCACAACAGCAGAGTTGAGTAAGAGATTCTTTCCACTAGCCTGCAAATTCTAAAATATTTACTGTCTGGACTCTTACAGAGAAAAATTGCTGACCACTGTTACAGATCATTGAAAGAAAGTGAGAGACTCCAAATAGCTATATAAATATAAGAAAGAAGTTGATGTAATTTAGTCATTATAAAAGGCTACTTAAATAGTTCACATTGTATTATTTCAGGTATAAGTGATTTTTTTCAAAGTTCCACTCAGTGAGTTTAAAATAATCCTTATAATAAATATCTTACATGTTTAACATACATAAATCCTGGGAATAAACAAGCACAGCCCCCATGAAGAAATATTATGAAAACCGAGAAGAAAAATAATAATATATATAGCAAATGACACCAAGAAAAATGATCAAAACATGCCTCTTTCATAAGTGGGAGAGAATTCTCCCACATTCATTCATTAGAAAGACGTGCATATGAAGTTTTTCCCCTAGCATCTACCATGTACAACGCATTGAGAGCCCACTCGTGACTAAAACAGATAAAGATCCTTAGCTTCATGTAACTTATATTCTATCAAGGGAAAGAGATATTAAAGAACAAACACAAAATTAATCATTTAACTATAATGGCTATAAGTTCTATACTGGAGTATAGGCAAGAGTATGGAGAGAATACATAATCTAAGGTTCTAACTTGGTATGTGTGGGAGAGGATTTTTTGAGGACACAACATTTACACTGAACTTCAAAGAATCAATGTGAAGGTAGGCATGCAGGAGGCACATGGGAGGAACTGAAGAAGGAAGCATTTCAGGCAGAATGAACAGCATGTACAAAGGTTCAACAATGGCTCTGAAAGAAAGAGTAAGACATCATCAACAGGCTTGTGTGAGGGGGATGTAGAAGTATGGCGTGAAATAAGTCAGGCAGTGATCAGACCTGGCAGGGCGTTACAGGCCACACGAGGGTTATAATCTTTATCCCCAGAACAAGAGGTGGCTAGGGAAAGGTTTTAAGCAGCAATATGACATAATCAGATTTGTTTTTTAAGAAGATCCTTCTGTCTACCTCATGGAGAATGGACTGAGAGAAGAAGAGTGGTAACAAGGACAGAATTTATAAAGTTATTGCAGTAGCTCAAGGGAAATAATTCTAGAGGTAGTAACGGAGGGATGTGAATGAATTTCATTTAAATATAGAGGTAAATTGACAGGACTTGGTGATTAGATATGGTG